TCGTCAGTATGATGGTTGTATATTTCTGTGCACATGTAATGCGATTCTCCCTTGTTTTTGTTTTTTTTTTTTTTTTGGAAATTAGGCACTTTTTTAATTTTTAGCTTTTCCTGCAAGCTTCTAGTACCCAGTTTTGATCATTCGTTCTTTCATCCGTTTGTCGGAATTCACTAACTTATTGTAATTGCCATCACCTCAGTGTGTACTTCTCTGGTTGATCCGCATTTGTTTTTTCATTTATTTATTCGTTCGACTTCGTCCCTTCTGAATTTACCGTGGGCAGTTAATTTTTGAGTTTTTTAACCGATTTGGATCCGGTCTTAACGCAGTAGTTGTTACAGGCTAGTGATTAACGCTTCGTTTCCGGTATCGGGCAGGCCTCTGCGACTTACTTCACCTCCTTTTCCGATTGCTTCTTTTTCAAAAAACTTATGCAGGTGCATTTTAATGAGTGAAATTGGCTAGCAGGTACAGTAGTCCTCGGAAGTGGTGGTCACTGAAGTCTTACATGTATGAAGTTACCGTTGATACAAGTTTTACTTCTAAGTGATAGAAAGTGGTAATGAACAGGATGCTTAGATTTCGATGTTTCATCCTAGTCCAACTCGAATTCAATTTAATTTTCACTGAACGCAGTAGTATTGTTTGATATATTGTCCATTGTCAAGAGTAACTGTTCAGGCAAGAGTAACTGTTCAGGCTTTTGGCTTCCTAGCTCCTTGCACTGAGAAAGATCAGGCCCATGCCTGGCATGGATATTTCTTGTACGGATAAGGTACTTTCACTCGTAAAAGAATAGTTTGTTGCCAGAATTTTTCCTTCCCCTTTTTCTAAAGATATTAGGAAGAAACAGTTTTACATAGTCTATTGGATCGACTGCTATTTACGTGTTGTTCCTGGCAATCCAGGGCAATAGTTTAGCGCGATAGGGACTCATCGTCTTGTCCTCACTTTCTATTAAAACTGTAGAAAATTCATTATCACCAGCATTATCATCGTTGCGATACCGCTGGACGAATGTACCATTTTGGGGCAATTCATTTTGTGCCCTCAAGTAAATATCGGATTTTGACAATCCTTGCAGGATATATTTAAGAATGGGGAAAATATTATCAGCATGGTTAGCGGCCTTATCCTCAGTTCTTTTTTATTTTTTCCGCGGAAGAGATGTATTTTTTCGAGAGCTTTATTCCGATGAACTTTAGGGTAGTCATTAATTGCTACTGCATTTCTTGCTGTCATGATTTTGGTTAACATAGTTACATCTAATTATGGCAGCAAGTATTTAAGGCTTCTCCACACAGTGATGTGCTCTCAGGGTCATCGGAACTCTCCATTTTGGGAGCAAAATGCAAATTAAGCGAGATGGGGAGCGAGATATTCTACGTGGTAGATGCAAATTTGGCTGAATTGCGTCACTGTAGTCCAAATTGGCTTAGCATTTGAGTGAAAGGGTTGCAAAATCCAGCCGAAGTGCCATGAATATTATATTCAGATTGAGTTGGGGAGCACTGAATTGCACTGAAAATTGCGGCACTGAATATGAAAGAATTGGCAAGCACTGGCATTCTGACCGGTGTTTGCGTTTTGACGGGGGACAAGGAGGGAGAAGGGGTAGAAGGCGAAGTGAGGCGTGGGGGTTTTGGAGCATCCTGTTTCGTTTATGGGAAGTTGGATGAGCCGGACCTGGACCTGATATCTTGATCGGCAACTTTTTCATCGTTGCATTCTTTCTTGCCACGTCAACTTTCTACCCTACAAAGAGCTCCTTCCATCATCTGCATGTTATCATAGTTTTTCGTGGTGTTAAAGTACTACGTGCCTTTCTACGAGTGTTGCGACGCCAGAAATTGCTCGAGAATTTTTCCAATATTTTGAGCGATATTTCGAGAATAATGTGCCTTGTGAGTATGTATGCTTGTGTTGTGCGTGTGTGTGTGTGTGTGTATGAGGGTGTGGGTGGAGGCAAGAGGCGTTTGCAGGAAATGAGGGAGCACAATGCATGCCACCGTATCGACGTGCTGCAGTAGTGGCTTCCTTCCTGGCTCGTTGTCCTCGTTTTTCCAATTTTCATAGCTGACCATTACGGCTATTCCATGAGTGCGTGTGCACATACGTCTATGATGTCTGTGTGTTTGTACCTCCTCCGGCATTCGTAAAAATGGGAATTTTTAGTTTTTAGCAAGGTTCAGATTGCGCGAATGAAGTGTTTCTTCCCCTGAGTATTGGTCCTTGATCCCTGGTGCCTTTCCCGTGCGCCAGACCGAACTTCGCTGAAGGCAATCCAGAGCTCGCAGGCCCTATCTTTGTATCATTTCCTTTTTTTGCTGTTGAATTCATCATGGGAGCGCACTTAGTTAGCTAAATGCTAAAAGGTAAAAAAAAATTTTTTTTTCCCGTATTAGTTTTTCCGTTTTGGCCTATGTCATTCCCTCACTTGTTTCGGTAATTCTTCGCAGTCGAGAGCAACTGCAGCTACGCCTGAGGGTATTAGAATACTGTGTTGGTAAAATTAAAAGACTAGCCTGAATGCTTTTCTCGTGGAGTTTGATGCCTTCTCATTGAAAATGAGTGTTCATCATGCTCAGTTCCACGCACTCTTTTGTCTTTAATAAAATATGACAAAAAATGTTAAAAATGCAGCGTCTAGGTCCAGGGGCTTATCGCAGCTGTTTTCGGCGTTTTGGAGCGTTCCAGTAATATCACTAACATGGGATACCCAGACTGATCGTCCGGATGGTTTTGATGCTAACAAATGACGAGCAGTTTATTCAGAAAGTAAAAGTTTTCTCCGGGGAAAAAAGAAAGAAATTCGTCGAAAGTACAATTTGAAATCATTGCTAATGAGCAATTCTCTGGCGCATTTGAGAACACAGTTAATAGCCCCCGCAGCGTGAGTTTTGAAAGGTCACCAGGAATTTATTCTTGTGCCGTTGCTGTGCCGTTATCGTTAGGTTTCTCGGGGACAGCTCCAACTGTGAGTACTTGTCAAGGACACGACGATGAATCTGTGTGATGTTTTTCTTAATCTGAACGACTTGAATAATCGTACGCGAAGGCTCAAGAGAACCTGAACCCAGGGACGTTCACTTGCCGATGACATGCATGCTTTTCTTATTCGAAAAGACAATTTTTCGAAGTGCCAATTAAAATTACCAGTTGAATCCTCTTGAACAGTTTGAATAAGAAAAGGGCTTTTTCTTATCTAGCAGGTTTTATCAGGCCCAAATTTGGGAGGTTGATTTTGATGTCTGAGAAACATTTCGTGGAAAAGAAGGATATGCTGCAAAAGTCCCAGAATTCGGCCATTTTCAGTAGTAGCTTGACGAGCGAGTTTTTCATTCCTAGAAATGAGGGTATATACACATTTTATGCAAGTTCATGTTATGTGTTATCTCTTCTGAGTATTAAATGCCGGATATGTTAGTCCATGTGGGGAGGGGAGCAGCATCATATCTGTTTTTGTGTGCCCCGTAATAGTATAAACACATTTGAAGCGGCTTTTTATAGTATCATTTTCAGTGTGCTGTTTCGACAAACAATTGGAATCCAGGCGCCTGTCAGAATGGTTGCGAGCTGTGTTTTTCCGCACAACGCTACGTCGCCGAGCACAGAAGCAGCGCTTATTTTGTCATCCTCGCCATCCTCAGTGATTGCTGCCGAGAAGACGAAACAGCGCAAGCAGGTTTGTGCGATTTTGCAATTCACATAGATTTAGATTTTAGCTGGCATATGTAATTATCTAGTCTTTGTGTTGTTGATAAGAATATTGCTACTGTAATAGGAATAAAGTACCTCAGATGCGTTGAAGTGTGTTGCTCCTCCTCAGACGAAGCAAGGCATTATTTCAGCGAACTATCACTTCCAGTGGCAGGCCACTCTAATCTTATCACTGACCACTCTTATCACTACCCCTGTAGCGGACTTTGTTCACACCATAATCATTTCCTTTAGTTTCGGCTGAAAATGGAAGTACTTCTATGTCATCGACACATTTGGCATTTCTTTTGCACCCACTCGTTCGGAGGTCAGCTTGCAGTAGTTGCCAGATATTCCCTGCTCATGTGTTAGCTAGAGATTTCAAATTCAGCCCCCAGGTGTGCATGATACTCAAGGGCGTATGAAAGTTTTGGCGAGAAAATTGCTAACTCGAGAACCGGAAAAGCTGGAAGGCTGAAATTTTGTGGGAATGTTCTTTGTCCACTGGTCTTCCTGCTTCGCAGCCTCCTTTCCTTGGGGCAAAATGCTGGATATTTTGTGTTATTCACAGCATGTGGCTTTTCAGTCCATTTATCCGTAAGTCTCGTGCCGCAGCCCTCATCTCACTAGGAGGAAGTTTGCTTGAAGGAGTTCAGCGGTTTTGCAAGGAAATGATAAGAAGATGCGGATGTAACCATAGCGTCGTCTGTGGCTTTTCTGATCAGGCAAAAGGTGCTTGCTTGGCAGCATGTTTGCTTTGAAATTTCGACCTTCCTCCACCCCCTCCCCCCTCCCCTTGCTCTCTCTCTCTGCTCTGTCGATGATTGCGAAATTCATGTCCTTTATTTTCGGGATGACGAAGCGCAATTTTGCCAGTTGTTCCAGTTTGCAAATTTCGAAATTTGTCTGGCACCCTGTCCGTCACAGATGCTGCTCCCTTCGCCGTCCTGAAATGCAGCTGGGGATGGATTGCTGTCGGCTTGAGTGGGCTCGTTTGAGTGTGTGTGCCCGGATATAAAATATCTGATGAGTATGGGAAACCGCCTTATTTGCATAGGATGGATGGATCGTCCTGTCTTCACCCAAGCCAGTGATTTATGCTCTCAACCAACGCATCACTGGGGAAGCGGAAGCGGTTGCCCAATTTGCTAACCTCACACTGAGTTCCCCACGAATTTTGGCTTCATATTTCGCAGTATGCTGCACTCAAACGACTGCCTCCATTATCGTCCTGGAGCTGAACTTTGGTCGTGTGCATATGTTGTGCATTGCAGGCAGCTATGCTGGATGCTTGGTTAGCATTGCACAACGATAATCTTTACCCTTGTCGTGAGGAGAAAGAACGGCTGGCGAAAGACATGTCGATGACTTATATACAGGTGATTTTCCACTGCTTAATTGCGGTAAAATGCTACTGCTTTTCCAGGATCTCGTAAATAGCAAGGGCATTGCGATGTATGTACATGCGCTGTTAGCAGAACATTCATGCTTAGGGAGAGCCTTTTCGAAGAACTTGTTTTCCATAATTTTTCTCCCCCCGTTTTTCTTGCCAATTTGATGCATTTGGGAAACTAAAAATGTGTAGCTGAGGATTTATTTCGTGCCCAGCGTTTGGTTGTACCCGTCAATCATCCGGCTTTCAATCGTATTAGCATACTCGATTGGCTCTAATTGATCTTTAGTTCAGTATTTCATCGCGTCGCTTTCACTGGACTAAGTAGCGAATATCTACATTTCTGCGAAGCTAATTATCATTTTTTGAGGCTTTTTCCTTTTTTAGTTGTTCACGCACTAGTGAGTTTGGGTAATATACTCTGCAACTGGAGAAAAGGAGTGAAAAGCCCGAGATGAGAAAAGAGAGGAAGGTTTGGGGAGAGGGGTAGGGGGCTGGGGGAGGTGGAAGGGAGGTGCATTGGGGGATGCTTTGTTTATGAATCGGGTAGGGTAACAGAAGCAGTAAATATTTATTACATGCGGTGTAAATATTTTGCACATATTGTATACTCTCCCTG